GATGACCTTTGCCTTCCCTCTGTATTCCCTGCGTCTGAGAGTCCTCGAGACATGTGAAAAACATGAGACACTGACAGTTACTTTCCCACCAAGGGAAACCAGGCTTGTCAGAGGAGCTGAAGCATCTCTGCATCAGCATCTGCTGAATTAAGTTGCGCTGCCTAGATAACAACTCAGCAACACAAAGCGAGCTCCTCATTTAAGGACCTCTTCCTGACACTGGGGGGTGGCCCCCACCAGAGGAATGCAGCCAAGAGCTCCCCTCCCCCCCCCAATCAGAAACCAGCATCTCTTGTCTCAATCACAGAAGCAAAATGAAGGCAGCTCTTTTTACACGACGTCTCTGCTTCTTCGAGAAACAACCTTCTGTCCATGGAGAGATTTCCCACAACCTGTTCTGCTGGAGAGGATGCCTTCTGCTCCGGGAATTCCCCGGCTCCAGCCATCACCTACGACACGCAATGTAAGGATGTAACAGCCACAATGCAGGACACGCAGGCGGAAGACAGTAGAACACACCCATGAAGACCAGCTGGCGGTTAAAAGGCACAATGGACCTGCCACTCTGCCAGAGAGGGGCTCCCTGGGCTCCAGCCCGAGTCCAATAGCTCGGAAGGCAAAACCTCTGGACCCAGATGGGATCCTGCACAATGAAAATCCTTAATCTCGGGACACAAAGTCAACCATAGTTTCAAACGAGGAGCTGTGAGCATCCTAGACCAAGCCAAATCCAAAAATGCTAGGGAATCCCTGGAGGCTTGGCATTCAGACACATCAGCCCACAACACGTGCATAGAAATAAAGCAGACTTGCCCCCCATTCAAAAGAAACAATGGAAAAATGCTAAGGGGGAAAGTAAAAGACCAGAACACATCCTCTCCAGTGGCCCACACCCAGATAAGCAGGGATTAACACAAGACAAACAATCAAGCCGAAAACAATACCCTAATCAAAAAAACTACCCAGGGGAAAAAACCACACACACCCCCACCCACACTGGCAGGGCAAACTATTGTACGTAAACACTTGATGATGGTGCACACTTGGATCATGAAATGCCTGCAAGCAGACCACCAAACTCAGTCAGAAAGCACCAAGGAATCCGTATAGCCGTCGCAGTAGCCCTTGGACTTGCATACTGCTTCGCGGTGCTTTCCAGCCTTCTTCTAAGCAGTTCACAGAGTCAGCATATTCCACCCCCCTCAACAATCCGGGTCCTCATTTTACCCACCTCAGAAGGGTAGAGGGCTGAGTCAACCCTGAGTCGGTCAGAATTGAACTGCTGGCAGTCGGCAGAATTAGTCTGCAGTACTGCATTCTAACCACTGCGCCACCATGGCTTTAATATAAAACCATTCGATTATTACTTTTATTGGTGGTGATTAAAACACAGAATTAGCTGAAAGAACATCAAAAGAAATCCCCCGACACGCGTCCAGCAATGTTTAATTCCATGCAGTGGAAGAAGCCCTCCAGCAGTGACGCGGCTGGTGCACAATTCACGGCAGAAGCCAAGCTGCACAAGGGGATTCCGTGGGAACAAAACCACGTGCCTCCTAGGCGTGTCCCTTGCTGGCCACTGCTTTTTGCTGGAGGAGGCAGCAGGCTGCTCAGGTAGGAGAGAAAAACCCAGGGAATATCATGCTCCCACAAAGGAGGCCGACAGCTTCCCCCACCCCCACCCCCGCCCCCCGGCAGCCTCAGGAGCCCCCAGAGTTAACCCTTCCTCATGGGGCCCTCCAGGCAGAGCCAGGTTTTGTGTTGTGGTGAAGGGACCAGGCTAGAAACCGGCAGTCCTGCCTGGGCCGCTCACGTTCTCTCCCTGCTCAAAAGGCTTGCCAGGAAACCTTCAGGGATTGTCCAGGCAGTGTCCCAGAATCAGGCATGCCTGGACGGAAGAAGAAAAATGCCCCAGAGGGCAGGATCTCAACTGCTGCAACAAGGAATCAGGTTCAGGCCGGCGACTGATCGATCGGGAGGAACTTCTGGACAATATGAGCCGTTAGCCACAGGAAGAGGCTGTCAGATAAGAATTCCCCTTTTCTGGAGCTATGAAAGCCAAGCTCTCAAGCCTCTTCCAAGGCTTGATTCTATCATCAGCCCTTCCCACGGAGGGCTGGAGCAGAGCTGGTGGCCCCAAGCAGGCAGGCAGGCAGGCAGAGACCTCAAGGTCCCCGCCCGCCGCCCCCCTTCAGGCGAGTGGAAGCCAAGCAGAGGGTTCCACGGGGAAGAAGAGCTTGTGGCTGGAGAGGAGGCTTCACGTCCAGCACTGGTGCAAGCGGCCATCCAATGACTCTTTGCTGGCCACTTCGGGAGAACAAGATGACCAAGATGCACTTTGTTTCCGATCTAGTCGCACAAAAAACCACAAAGGCAAACCAAGCCACAACAGCAACGGGTAGACCCACTCAAGGACCCAAGGTCTTGCTTTGCATCGACTGGAGAGGACAAGCAGCTTCTCAAGAGCTTGTCTGGAGGCCCTGCTGGAGCTCACCCCTGCCCCGGTCCTTCCGACAGCCACAGGCTCAGGAGCCATTCCCAGGACTGGACTGGCCAGGGCCAAAAGAGCCTGTTCCCACACCAAGGAGGTTTCACTGAGGCCAAGTAAGGAGGCCCTCGAGGTTCTATCTGACAAAAGAGCCTTCTTCAGCTGTAGGCAGATCAGGGCAGAGATGGAAGGCATCTCAAGTTTGAAGGCATCTTAGATGTTATCTAGCCAGCCCAAAATCTACCACACATCTCTGACAGCTGACTGCACCACTTCTGCTTGAAGGCTCCAGCAAAGGAAAAGGCCCACGTAATGTGGCACGCTGGTTGCATGGAGAAGTGGCCTTCAGAAGCAGGGGAACCTCATTGCTTCAAGAAGCTTAGCAGGAAAGCTCTGCTCTGGGGCAGCCTGGGACTCAGCCACCTTCTTCTCAGTGGGGCTATTAAAACATCCAGGTTGCTGTACGCTTAGAGGCCTCTCATCTTCCTGGGGCGGGGAGGGGGAGCACCTAAAACTGATCTGCTGGAGGAAGCGAGAAAGGAAGGGCCTGGGCAAGAATGCCACCTTCTGGCTAGGAAGGAGAGCTTCCATAAGAACAGATCCCACCACCCGCCTCTCCACAGGTGAGAGCAGCCCCTACTCAGCCATCCCACCTGTGTGCAGTTGGACCTCAGGAGCAGCCCTAAAAATGGCTCAGCCTCCCCCTTCTGCATCCCTGGAGGAAAACTGCCAGATGCCTCCAGCTCGACCCTCCTTCTTCTAGGGCAGCTCTCCTCCTCCAGCCTGCTCTGCTCTCAGATGCCCCCTAACCAGCAGCCGCAGGTAGATGTGGAAGACCAGAGACCCACCAGGAATCCTGAATGGAGGCGTCCCCCAGCAAAGGGACCTGAAGACAGGAGGCGTTGGGGCCAGCTCAACTCAGCTGAGACTGCTTGGAAGACCCTCCTGCTTAACACACACACCCCAGGGGTCCTTCCAGGATGCGCAAGAAGCAGCTCTGGAGTCTGGGCCTTTGCAGCTGCCAGATCCCAGGATGGCTCCAGCTCTGCTCTGCAGCTTTTCCTGAGCGTCCTTCCGATGTGGCCCTGACTCTCCAGCGATTCTCTTGCCCTGCCCCTTGAGCTAAGCCCTTCCTCCCTGTTTCTGTATCCCCTCTGCAATTGGGGGAGGAGGGGTATTAATACTGAGCACCTCCAGTGTTGCTTGTATCTGTCAATCATTTTCCATCCTGGGACTCCTCTCTTGGGGGGGGGGGTCCCTCTCTTAAGCTGAACCCAGCAGGACCAGACCCGGGAAGGGCGCAGCCAGGAAAGACATGGGAGGGGCTCTCATGGCCCAGGAGGACAGCCTCTTTGCCCCCCACCACAGACAGCAGCCCCACACCACCACTGCCTTGGGCTTCCGATGCTTCTTAGAAGCACACCATTCCTTGAAAGCAGACCGAGTAGCATGAAAAGGTCAGCGGCTTTCTATGCAACGGGCCACTGGGATGGCCACGTGTCCTTGGAGCCACCGAAATTGGGGCTGGCCATCTGGCCCAGAGTAAACAGGAGGAGAGGCAGGGGGGAGGGCCGAGGGGCGCAAGGGAGAAGGAGGCGATGACGGCCGCTGAAAGATCCCTTCCCCTTCCAGGCCCTCCTGACCTCCCGCTTACCCTGCCACAGAGGTTATCGAGATACAAGCCTCCTTGGAGGATTAAAGGAAGCCGAAAAGGCAAACAGAAAAACACCCCTTTCCCCAACAAATAAAAAACTTCCGTGCTTTGTGGAGCTGACAGGCCCGCCAGAGGTGTTGACATAACCTTCCATCTCCCACAGCGTAAAGTCAACAACCCCGTGTGCTGGCTACGGATCCGTCAGGGAGATTTACATTAACTTGTCTGACATGAAATTAAAACAACAGTCAACCGCCATGAATGAAAGCTCTCTGTCTCTCTCTTTTTCTCCCTCCCTCCCTCCCTCCCTCTTTCCTAAGGCAGTTATCGCCACCGGCACTCCAACCTGGCGTATTCACTGCTCCGCTCGGCTCCGGTAATGAAAGCCCAGGGAGGATCAGAAGCCGGGCAGATCCTCCATCGGGCCGTCTGAAAATGGTCACTCTGATCCATCCAGGAACTTCTGTGTCTGGCACCCACTGGGGACTGGATCCTGCCCCTGCCAAGATCCCTTCACCTGGGCCACACTCAGTGCTGACGTGCGTGGCTTCACAATTATTGGCCGATCAGAACGGCACAAAAACCCGTGATCTCCCATCCTGAGGTGCATCCGGAGGTTTTTTCAGGTCAATCCCACCGATCTCCCGCCCACCCCCACCCCTTTCTGACCCAGAGGATAGGAGAAAGGAGGCTGGCCTGGGTTTCCTCCAAAGCCTCTGGGCAATCGAGGACTGATGGACAACCGAAGGAAAGCGGGGTGGAAGGAAGAGCTGAAGCTTCAGTTTGACCTTCTAACTGGCCCGGAGGTCCTGCCGACCCCCTTCTGACCCCAGCCCTCTCCTCCCGAGCCAGACTTACGGGCAGGTGTGTGAAGACAGCAAAGGTGCTGCGCAAGAAAGCAATGAGGTCCACCAGGTAGTCACTGGCCTTGGGAGGGGCTTCCGCGGCCATCCAGTCATAATCTGCAAGTTGCAAGAACTGGTCAATCTTTTGGTTCAGGTTAGTGTAGATCTCCTCCTCTGCAGCATGGCGGCCGTCCTGTGGAGAAGGGCCAGTTCAGCAGAGAGATCATGGTGGCACCCCAAATCCTGCTCTGGGGGGGGGGGGACAAGGGGTGCTCATGGCCCCCGTTGTTAGACCAATCCTCTTCATGCCACTTTATCTACACTTCAAGCAGCTCCTGCAATAACCGCCTCCCCAAGGACAGCCGGAACTCTACGGTACGCAAGGACATGAGAGCCTCATAACTGCACAAGGGGTGAGGGGGGGGGGCTAATCTATGGGAACAGAGACAGTAAGAAACATGCTCCCAATCCCCAAAAGGGCTGCCTAAGGTCTCGGTCTCTTCACCCACAAGGAAGGGCTGCAGCATTATGACTTCCTCTCATCCTCCTTACTTCCCCCTCTTATTGGCATGAGGATTCTGCTGCTTTCCATGTCCACCGAGAGCTTCTGCACAGGAGACAAATTCCATGCATGGCTAAGAACACTTCGCCAAATGTTCTGTTCTGTTCTATTCTATATTCTGTTCTACTCTACTCTACTCTACTCTACTCTACTCTACTCTACTCTACTCTACTCTACTCTGCTCTGCTCTGCTCTGCTCTGCTCTGCTCTGCTCTGCTCCGCTCTACTCTACTCTACACTAACTGTATACGTCCGTCCATCCTATGCCCATAGATCCCCAGTAAAGCAGGACAATGTAAATATTGCACTGCAATGAACATACCTAGAATGCAAACTTTTTGTTCCCGAGAATGTAACTACTTCCTTGCACTTCAGTGGGGAGCCGCTTTCCTTCTCTGCACTTGCCCACTTCTGAACCCCTTTGTTGACTGGCTTCCGTGATCACCAACCCAACACAGGAGGAGCAGAGACTCCATTTTTTCCTCCATTTGTTTCTGCAAAATGTCCCCGTAATCTCCAGACGGCCTTCCCACAAATCCTTCTTCAAACGCATTGTAAGCCGCCCGGAGTCTCCGGAGAAGGGCGGCATATAAATCAAAATTTAAAAAAAAAACCGCCTGCCTGCCTGTCTCCTGGCTGCTTTCCATGTTTGGATGAGGAGCGCAGAGCAATGGCTCAGTGGTGTTGACTGATCACAGGCAGGAAGGCCGGTAGGCCCAGGAGAGAGAGGAGGCCAAAGCTCAGGCTCACCTTGAAAGTGGCCGTTCCATAAAGCTTCGTCGTGTGGACGGTTTCTGGAAGAACGTTGGTGATGTTGGTGATGAATTCTTCCAGGAATCGACAGGATCTTTCCAAATGTGTAGTGTTGATAATTATCTGGACCAGCTGCAGGAGCAACACACATGGTTAAAACCATCAGCCAAAGGTGGGCTGGAGGAAGTCAGGGCAACAGGCAAGAGGTGCACTGCTCTTCAGAGGTGACCTCTAGCCAAAACGGGCTCTCATTTTCATCACAACAGATGTTTCTAAGCTCTCTGAACGACTGTAGAGATTCTCTGCCATCCTGTCCCAAAGGTGCTTTTTCAGGAGGCAACTGGACTAAATTTGTTTTGAAGAGGTTTCACTTCTCATCCAAGAAGCTTCTTCAGCTCTGACTGGATGGTGGGGAATGTGAAGGATTTATATTCCTTGCAGACAGCTGAAAATCTGCAGCCTTTTAGAAGGCCGTTGAAGCACTTGGAGATTTAAAGAAAAGAAAAAACAAGAAAGTCCAGTTGGCTCCTGAAAAGGCACCTTTGGGGCAACCATGACCTGGATGACGGAGAATCTCTATAGACCTTTAGCTATGCAATTTGGGATAAAGACCCTTGGAATGGTGTGGGAGGAGGAATGGATTTCCAGAGGAAAAAATGGCAGACTACAGGAGCCAGGAGCCCCACTCAGGTGGCCCAGAGGACACAGACAAACCTCCAAGTGGCCTCAATGACCCTCTCAAAGGATGCCAATGACCAGCTGTCTGCAAGGAATATCAATCCTTCCGTTCCACACCATCCGGTCAGAGCCGAAGAAGCTTCTTGGATGAGAAGCGAAACCTTTTCAAAAGAAAAAACCAGAAAGTCCAGTTGCCTCTTGGGACTAAGCTCTCTGAGTGAGCCTTTTCACGGGGCTTCTGCTGGAGGGAGAATAAAACCTCCGAGGAATTTTCCGCCTTCACTGTAACTTGTCTCATTACGCCTTCGATCCTATTCAAGACAAACCGGTTGCAAAAAGCACAAGAATGGACCTGACGCCCTCGGCCAAGACTTCAACAGGGGCAGGAGCTTGAGTGACAGTTCCTCTCGCTCTCCAGCAGTGTCAGAAAATCCGCAGACGCCTCGGCTGTAATTAATGTGTGGGGAGGGGATTTTCCATCCTCCCCCCCTCAACAGAGGCGGCCCTGGGTTTTTCAAGGACAGCAAAGAGAAGCTGGGGATTTCCCTACTTCCCAGCTGGGCCACGGATTATTTTTGCCACATCATAAATTGAATGTCACCAATTATGCTTTCTCTAAAAGACCATACGCCAGTGCCACAATTCCAGAAATGATCGGTGTGACCAGATGTCACTGCAAGCCCTTTGTGTCCAGTGGCTCCTCTCTAAAATATCAAGCTGGAGAACGGGGACCCTCAAACACATGGCTGTGTTACAGCTCCCACTCTTCCTCCTTCCTGGCTATGTCTCAGCTGTGGCAGAGATGAGAAGTATACAATGATCTACAACAGCAGTTCCCCAGCATTTATGGCTCCATGGACTGGCAGCCGAGTGGCAGTGGTGATGGGGGGGGAGGGATGTTTCTCCTGCACAACCTAGATCCTGCACATGTGCAGATGAAGCTTCGCACACATGCCTGCCACTTGCACGGCCTGGTTCCCAACAGGATGCGAACCGGCAGCAGTCTATGGCCCAGGGGTCAGGGACCCCTGGCCTACAACACACACTGAAACACCTTCAGGCTACTAGACCAGACTGGACAAGGGGGGCCTCAGGGAAACCAAGTAGGAGAACATGGACCCGAGTTGGATCTAAGTCTGGCTGATTCATGCTCTCGGCTTCGGCCATTTTATGATGAGTGGACTTCAACTCCCAGAATTCCCCAGCCCACAATCTTAAAATGGTCGAAGTTGAGAAACACTTCCTGGTGCTGGAGGAAAATCTGGAGAAGGCGTCTCACAGACAATTCAGAGGAGACTTGTAAACTCCTTGTGCTTCCTTCGAGAGGAGGCTCCAAGTCTCTACCACGAGGCCCTGAGCAGTGACGGGGCCAAACCCCTCCAATCTCTCCCAACCCAGAAAGGAGCCCTTGCCTCGGCCAGCCCGACGTTCTTCCTGCGAATGACGCTCTGCAAGCAGCTGCTCAGAGTCCGGGTCAACAACAAATTGGTCGATTTCCGAATCATGTCATCCACCTCCGTGGAGCTGAAAGGCAGACAGAATCACGGATCAGTTGGCTGACGGATAGACAGACTGACTGACTGGCCGACCAGTTGCTAAGGGCAAAGAAAACCCGTATTTGGGGGTGACTTCAACCAGAGCAAAGCCAGCTGGAAAGCTCTTCCCCGAGGCTGGGAAACGGTGATTGCCGAAGATGGGAAGCCGGGCCTTTCTTGAGACGGGCGGCTCAGAGGGAGACCCTCAGATCTTGGCAATGGCCAGAAGCTCAGCTCAGGGTCCCATCGATAGGAGCCCACAAATAGGAAGATAGACAGATAGATAGAAAAAGGATGTAGAAATAACTGGCTCCTTTTGTCCTTTTTTCATTTCATGTTTTCAATGATTTTGAACAGTACAATCTATTTAGTTACAACGGCACTAAAAAAAGTGACTTATGATCCTTTTCCACACTTACTTCTAGGATACCCGTGGCATCATCCCCAGGGTCACTGATTAAACTTTGGATGCTAGGCAACCGTTTCCTATTTATGATGGTCGCAGCGTCCCAAGGTCACGTGATCCTTTTGCAACCTTCCAACAAGCAAAGTTAATGGGGAAGCCAGATTCACTTAACAACCAGGTTACTAATGTAACAACTGCAGCGATTCACTTAACAACTGTGGCAAGAAAGGTCGTAAAATGGGGCAAAGCTCCCTTAACCAGTGTCTCGCTCAGCAACAGAAATGTTGGGCTCAAAATTTGAGGACAAATTGTACTCTGGGTTTTAAAAATCATGCTAGCAATTTTACCAGGAAAAGGTTATTCATAACAGGAAGGCTGGAAATTGTTCTAAGTATTCCTGAAAGAAAAAATAAACCAATGTGGTAGATGGAGAATTCAGCCAGGAAGTGTTGCAATAATGAACACCCACCAACGCCCGCCCCAACCGACCCCCCCCCCTTCAAAGGTAGCCCTGACTGGCTTATGAGGGGGAATTGCTGTTCGCAGCAGCCCCTTCGGATGCTTCAGGAGGCTCAGGGAGCTGCAGGGCTTGTTTGGAAAAGCTGAACGTGACCTAAAAGGGAAATCGTTAAATCCACATCTTGATGAAGCCCATGGCATTAATTTAAACCCGAAAGAAAGGAGCCCGGCTCACAGGCCGCCCTTGGCTGACCGCACAGCAGCTAAAGAGGGTCAGTGGTGGTGAGTCCTTGGATGGGGACCAAGATTAAAAAAAAAAAACCTCGCCCCAGAAGAAAGCCAAGAAGGTGGGTGCCAGGAAAGCCCCTGGGAGCCCTTCCCAAAGTCGCCCAGAGGCCAACTGGACCCAAAGGGGCTTTGTGGGTTTGAGGGGAGAGCTCTCTTTCTCCACCTGAGACCAAAAGAGAAACGTGACGACCGGCCAGGGAAGTGATGTGCTGCTCTAGCACGAAGAGTGCCGGTCTCGTGTTCTCCCGACAAGGACCGGGCATCAGTCAGAGGCCGCCTCCAAGGATGCAGATTTTGGGGAGGGGTCAGCGTTACCCATTGGATCCCTGACTGACCATTGCTCACTTCCCAGTTGTCAGAACTGCCATCTTGCACTGAGCTCTGCAAACCTTAGTGCCAGTCTGCCACAGACTATGTGGGGGGGGGGGGGAAAATATACCACTCATCGTACCTTCCAGAGACAATCACTCAACTGGCTATGCAATGGCTAACGTGGAGGAGACCATTTCCCAAAACCATTTATTTCAAGATAATTGGGGAGGATCAGGGATGGGTCTGACCGGGTAAAAGTTAACTGGGGGAAACCCGCGTGTGAATGCTTAGTTCTGGGCTTGCGTTCTGTAATCCACTTGGGTTTTAAGAAAAGTACACCTTTCACTCCATCATGGAGTCGAGGGTCTTTCTTTGCTAACAGTCCAGGCTGGGGCAGGTCTGACACTATTTCTGCCAGCTGAAAAGACCATCACACAAATCCATAACTGCTTCTTAGAAAGGAAGTCAAAGGGCTCCACCCTCAGCTCTGCCCTGGAAGGCGGACCATGCCAGCCTCTACATTGACATTTGACCAAAATCTGTGGGCAGCAGCAGACATTTCCCCCAAATATTGCCGATAAGACTGCGTAGATTTGTCCAGGCAGCCTCTGGGAGTGAAGGCTGCCTTGTAGGCTCAAAAAAGGGGTGGGTGGGTGGGTAGAAGGGAGGGCTGGGTGCTCGCCTCCATTGTCAGTCTGGCATGCAACCTATTCACGGGGTGCCCAAAAGCCTCCATTCCTCACAGGAGGAAGACGCGACTGGTGTGCCATTGCTGCAGCCATGAAACCGTTGCCCCAATTCTTAATGATTAACAAATCAATTTTGTTTAAGTGGGGGCTTCCATTGGTTCCACTGGGGAAGGGCACCATGATGTTTTCAGGCACCATATTGTCAGGCTTGTTTTAAGGGGTGATGCCCCCAAAGTTCTGATGAAGATGTGGAGATCCCCCCCATGAAGGAAAACTGTCCTCACTGCTCCACTGCCCTGGAAGAGGTGAGGCTGGCAGCCCCTGCTCCATCACTCCAGTTCTTTAGCTGGGACGTTGTGGCTTCTCTTAAGCCACTCTTCCTTTGAGGTTCATTTTTTCCCCTACATTGAGCAAGGTTGATCTCAGGGGTGAAATGCTCCCGGTTCAGACTGGATTGCCCGATCCAGTAGCAATGGCGGCGGGTGGTTCACAGAACCAGTAGCAAAAATCCCTGCCCACCCCCCCAGGCCCAATTGAGCCACGCGATCATCAGAGACTTTTTTTTACTTTTAAAAGCATTTTTTCTTCGGCCGAAAAATGTTTTTAAAAGCCAAAAAAAAAAAAGCCTCTGAAGATCAGGCAACTCAGCTGGGATCGGCCCAAGAGGTTGTAGAAAAAATGCTTTTAAAAGTTTTTTTTTTAAAAAAGTTGGCCACGCCCACCCAGTCACATTACGCCCCCCCCACCAAGCCACACCCACAGAACCGGTAGTAACAAATTTGACATTTCACACACACCCACACACCCCGTTGATCTCCACCCACTCTAGAGACCGTCAGGAAGAATCCCTCCCTCCCCCAAGGAGATGCAGAAGAGGAGGGGACCTCCTGGGGGGCTGCAGTAGCCCAAGGAAGGCCCAGGGGAAAGACAGGGGCTTTCTGACCCCCCCCCCACCTCCTACCTCAGGTGAAGGTCTTCAGAGAACTTCAGGCAAGCGTAGATAAATTCCTTGATCTGGTTGTAGATCCGAGGCACCAGTTCAGAAAAGGGGAACTTCCTGGGGAACGGCTGCTGCAAAATGGAGGGGAAAGGGGTCAGCAAGATAGGCACCCACACAGTCCGAGCGGCCATCAGCCCCCGGCCAGAAAAGGGGTCCGGCTGCCGTGACGCAGCTTCTGAACCCCCCTACCAGGATGACCGAGAATCGCCATCAACCTCCAGCCTCCAGAGCTGTCATGACTGCTAACCATCGTGCCCCTCCAAAGGAGCCCCCCCACACACACACACCACCAAGCTCTCCTCTTTTGAGGGCTGCTAAGGCTGGAAGCACTGCCGGAGGTCATCCAAACCACCCTCCCGGGGCCAACCCCGAGTGACTCTGAAGAAACGCCCTGCAGGGGGAGCGGAGGCCACCAGGAAACCCTCGGCTTTGAGCACCGCCTTCCCTCACGGCTTTACCTTCTCCAGCTCCGCATCGTGGAATGGAAACTGCCCCACCAGTTTCTCGTACTGCTCTTCGTCTGCCACCGAGATGGGGCTGTAATTATCCAACTCCAGGATGTTTCTGTGAAACGAAGAAGAGGTTTCACTCCACCTGTGCACAAAAACCCAGGTGGACCTTTCTCAGCCGGCCAAAACACCGTTTCCGCCCATTGGATAGGTTTCTATACAGGGAGTCCTCGACTTACAACAGCTCATTCAGTGACCATTCGCGTTACAACGGCACTGAAAAAAGTGACTTAGGACTGTTTTTCACACTTACGACCGTTGCAGTATCCCCAGCATCATGTGATCGAAATTCAGATGCTTGGCAACTGAACTCGTATTTATGACGGTCAAGGTGTCCCTTTTGCAACCTTCTGATAAAGTCAATGGAGAAGCCAGATTCACTTAACAACGGCAGTGATTCATCTAACAACGGTGGTAAGAACGGTCGTGAAATGGGGCAAAACTCATTTAGCAAATGTTTTACTTAGCAACATAAATTTTGGGCTCAATTGTGGTCGTAAGTTGAGGACTATATAGGCATAAGACACACAAAGACACACGCACACACACACCCTGCTCAGGAGATCTTTTCCCTGCTTTGTAAGACCGGAGCACAGCCGTCCTGGGAGACCCACAGGAGACGCCGTTTCTCAAGGACACCCGTTAAAAATATTGAAACTTCCATTTTTTTCAAAAAAAAAAATTCACACAGAGTTTTTAAACAAAAGGAAAGCGCTGAAAAAAATCCATCAGTGCCATTCTATGGTCATAAGATATAAAAGGCATCCAAAGCGATTGCGGCAGCCATAAAAAAGAGGAAAAGAAAACAGGCCCAGGCAGAATAAAAGGGCTCCATCTCATTGAAGGGCAGGAGAGGCTTCCCTCTGGACATTAAGCCTGGAGGACTTCAACTCCCAGGATTCCCCAGCCGGCTTTGCTGGGAGTTGAAGTCCGCCAGGCTTCAGGTGGCCACGGCTGGAGAGCCCTGCTCTGGACGATCCACAGCTGCTCCCCAAAATGGCAACGGCAAGAGCACTCAGGTGGTCCTTGACTTACAACGGTGTGTTTAGCGACCATTCAAAGTTACAACGGCACTGGAAAATGTGACTTAGGGCCGTTTTTCCACCGTTTCCATCTTTGCAGCTTCCGGCTTCAAATCAACTGGGGCAGAATCCCGAGAAGAGAAGGGAGCAGGGTGGAGATCGTGGAGGGCCCTTGCCGGGTGGGTTTCAAAGCAGGCCAAGATGGTTCTCTGGTCATCCGCCGGTGCTGCCTTAACTTTTGTGGTTTACGGGGTCCGTTCTCATTTTTAAATTACACCTTTTGAGTTCTACTCTTCGATCTTACCTTGTGCAGCCTTGAAATCTGCGTTCCTCCTGGCCGCAAGGAAGCCAGGGGCCCAATCCACCCGAAGAGGCCTTACCTGAAGGCTCCTGCCCATTTCTTCAGCAGCGTCTCCCTGTACTGGTCCTGGATTTCCAAAAGCAGGTCAAAGAGCTGGCTGACAGGGAAGCCGTAGGCCTGGCAGGGAAACAGGGGGGCTTCAGGGGAGGAAGGCAGTCCCTTGCCCAGCATGGGGAGACCCTAACCCTGAGGGGGCTCTGACCAGGACTCCCAGCCTCTGGTCTAGAAAGGTCCCTCTGTGGGTTCTGATGGGACGAAAATCCAGAAGAAGCTTCATCTCTAGAGCTTTACATGAAGTTCTTGGCTTACGACCATAACTGAACCCGGAATTACGGTTCTGCATCACGGCAGTCATTAAACGGACCACCACATGGCCATGCCCGATTTCATGACTTTTGCAGCAGTCATTAAGTAGACACCAGTTTCTGGCCAGAAAGTCATAAGTTGAGGCCACAGGATCGTCAGGCACCGCCAGTGATTGCCAAGGGCCCAAATGGGGTCAGATGATCCCGGGCGGGGAGGCAGAGGCAGCCCCCAGGATTTCAGAACCAGGTCGTAAGTACCTTTTGGGGGCTGCACTGGTTAAATGAGCTGCCGTAAAAACTTAGAAAGGTTGTTGACTGGGCAGTTGTAAGTCGAGGACTAGCTGTAGGAGCTGCACTGAGAAAACTTCCCACTGCCCCCCCCCCACTTCTTCCAGATGAAGCCCCAGATCGAGATTCAGAGCAAAAAACGGTGGGGGGGGGGATTCTGTGGGAGGTGAGTCAGACCTTGGGGCTCTGGTCCTTCCGTGGGGGACTCTAGAGGAGTTAGCCCAGTGCTCTGGGCCTCCATGGGGAAGGGATGTCTGATTCCCAGGCCACGCCTGGAGGGGCACTGAGGAGGCTGGCAGAGCGGGGGGGGGAGGGGGGGAGGGGAGACAAGGAGGCTCCTTACCTGGAGAGTGTCAGCAAAAAGCACCATGAGATTTTTCAGGTCCAACACCAGGTCTGGGTCTGAGCAATAGGACTGGAACAGGAAGGACAGAAGAAGGAGAAGGAGAGGCTGACTTGCTGCATTTCTCTGAGCTTTGAGGAGCTCAGAGGAAGGCAGTCTGGAACTCTCACATATTTCAAACTTGCAATTCCACAGGGTGATTTGTCATAAAAAAAGAAAACCACCTAAACCAAACCAAACCACCTAAAAATTAACTTAGCTCAAATCAGCTCGTCAAAGGAAGGTACCATGGTGGGCTACTTGGTGCTCTCTGAGCTGGGTGGTTTGCTTACAGATGTTTCATTACCAAACTACCTAACATCATCAGTGCCAGAAGGGAATGTGGATGTGGAGAAGAGGAGGAGGAGGAGGGCTGTGGGGGATCCTTGGTGCTCTCTGATCGTGTGGATTTTCTTGCAGACATTTCATGACCCAACAAAGTAACATCATCAGTGTTAAAGTAGCATTGCTGTCCAGATCAAAATACGGTTCAGGTCCATTTAAAAAAGAAGTTATGAAAAAAACGACTATGTACATCAAGAGCTGCAAAGCAGCACAACTGAACCAGGGTTTATGGAGCTCCAGGCAAAGGCAGCCAAAAGAGCAACTTGGGTTTTGTGGAGTGCAGAAACCCCAGGCCACCTCCCAAAACAGGGGCCCCTCCTTCGCCTGCCAAAGGCCCAGGAACCGCTACTCACCGAATGCGTCCGCAGGGCCGCGATGGTCTTGGAGAGGGCCATATCCCAGAGCTCATCGATGTAGGCTCTGTCCACCAAGCCCTGGCTTGTGTGCAGAACGTGATCCTCGATGACGAAAAAGCTGACAAGAGGAAAGGAGAGTCGTCACAGCTCGTTGGAGGCTCCCTTCAGAATCACCAGTCAGAACCGAGCAAGAAAGGGACCTGGGAGGCCTTCTAGTCCAACCCCCTGCTCAAGCAGGAGACCTAGCCTCGGCCATTCCAGACAGGTGGCGGTCCATCCTGATCTGAAGGCCCAATTGGAGCTGATGTGGTCAGCCCACCTCTGGCTTCACTGGACCTGGGGAAAGGGCTTGTCCAGCAGGGGTGTCCAATTTTGAAGCCCTGTGGACTTCAACTCCTAGAATTCCCGAGCCGGCCAGGAGATTCAGATCCAGAGTTTTTAATCCCAGCTTCCTCATGGGGCTGCCACTGGGGGGGGAGGAAGGGCAGACTGAGAGGAGGCCAAGGAGGAGGAGGGAGGAGCACATCTAACTGATCCAGAAAAAGCTCAGCAGGTCATCGGGGGTGGGGCTTCCAGGACACTGAAGACAGGGCAAGCCCCTCCCCCAGGGCTGCTGAGGACAAGACCACGGATGTCTCCACAATCCCCAGGTCTCACCCTTGCATGACGGGCAGTGGCTTCTACTTAGTAAGAGGAACAGGGGCCGGCTGGGGGTTGTGTTTAAGGGATCCAACTGGAAGCCAGGAGACCATGAATTCTAGTTCTGCTTGGCCCAAAGCCAGCCACTTTCACCCTGCCCTTGGAAGGAGGCAATGGCAAACCAATCCTGAAAAAGCTTGCCAGGGAAACTGCAGGGTTTTATCCAGGCAGCCTCCAAGCATCAGACACGATAGAACGGATGAAAAAAACAAAAATGGTTAAAAGAAGTCTGACAACTTTTACTTACAGGTAGTCCTCGATACACGACCACTATCGAACGCAAAATTTCTGTTTCTAAGCGAAACAGTTTTGTCCCATTTTACGACCTTTCAAGCCACGGTTGTTAAGTGAATCACTGCAGTTGTTAGGTTAGTAACAGCATCATTAAGTGAATCTGGCTTCCCCATTCATTTTGGTCAGAAGGTCGCAAAAGGGGAGCACAGGACCCCAGGACACTGCGGCCGTCCATAAGTGGCTAAGTGTCTAAATTTTGATCACGCGACGGTGGGGAGGCTACAACGGTCGTAAGTGTGAAAAACGATCATCAGTCAGTGTTTTGTCAGTGTCGTTGTTCCTTGGAACAGTCATTAAGCAGATGGCTATAAGGCGAGGACTGCCCGTGCTGCACAGACCTGAGCCCTGAGCCCTGGGGGGAGCAGACGGGGAAAGAAGAATACCTACCCTACAATCTGATTAAAATACTTCCGGTAGCCGGAGAGGGTTTCGTGCTAGAAAGAGGGGGGGAAGGGAGGGAAGAAGATTAAAACACCTGGGGGGGAACCCAAGAATTCCAGCCCATGGGAGACCCCCCCCTTGTCCCCCAAACCCTTTGGGGTCTTACCATGTTGGAGGGGGGCTGCAGAACCAGCCGGGCCTGCTTTCTCCTCTGCTTCCGGTAGTAGCTCTCAAAGGCCTCTCGGGCTCCCTTCCAAGGAGAGAATGGGTCAAGCTTCTCCCAGGGACCGAGGGCTTCTCTTCTCCCACCCCACCACCACCACCACCCAAGAACAGGCTCTTCCAGCACAGGGGTCTCCAGCCTTGGCCACTTGAAGACTTGTGGACTTCAACTCCCATGGCTGGCTGAGGAATTCCGGGAGTTGAAGTCCACAAGTCTTCAAGTGGCCTGGTCTAGGACAACTCGCCCTGGCCGACTCGCCACGGGACAATTCAAGAGAAGGACCAGCGAACGGCCACGGGCCATGCCTTGCTTTGGGTTTGGACCTTCTCCAGTTAGAAGTCCTGGAGGCTTTTGGGGGGTGGGGGGAGCTGCAGTTCTACTGGTCCCTCTCGTGAGTTATCCCGCCTTGAATTGTCCCGGGGCAAGTTGGCCATGGCAACGGGTCCCACTCCGCCAAGAATAAATCCGGGCAATACTCTCGGCTTCTGGAGGAACTGGCCGGGTCTTCTGCCCCACCGAATTGGCTCCTTTGGATGGACCTGCAGACTTTGGGGTGCCGTCCTTGAAGCTCAGCCTGGACACCCTGGGGAAACCCCAGAGTACAGGCCCTGATCTTAGAAATAAAGCATATCGTGTATTTTTGTCATAAAATACCATTTCCCAACTGAACTCTTTCAGAATTTTTTATAATGCATGGAGTTGTCTGGATGAAGTGATCCACAGTATTTGTCTTTAATTCATCAGGACTCAAGAAGTTTGTGTTTCCCACCCTTTAACTTCATCTCCACGCAAGACCCTTTCGTGAAAACAGCATCTCGGGGACAGCCCTCTGCCCCTGCCTGCAGCAAAGACCCCAAATCCGATTGAGCTTTTCTGCAATCCCCTGAACCTCCTTCTTCAAGAAGCTGCTGAGTCCCTTTGACAGCTTGCTTCTGATGTATTCAAATTATTTTTACAGTACGTTTTAAAGTGATTAGAAAAACGCTCTCCGAAATATTTATATTTTAAATCTGTCAACTTGTATTTCTTTCCATGGCTCTAATCTCACCCAGAGCTCGGCTTTGCTGACTCTTCTGCTACGCATCCAGCTGTCTGGTGACCTCCTCCTCCCTCCCTGCACATCTGTCTTATTCACCTCCTGTTCTTCTTGAAGAGAAAAAAATAAACCCCTCCAGATGCTCTTAAGAGCTGATGCAGAATCTTCCCCCTAGATGTCCTTATGGAAGAGATGGAGAAGTGCTGTGGAGCAGCTTCCATGGAACCCTTGTAACAAACTGGGAGGGGTCCCCAAAAAAATCCAACCTTTTCTCCTGGGAAACCCACCCACCCTTTCTAGCAAGCAGCAGAAGCAGGACCCCAAGAGCAGGAGAGGAAGTGGAAGCCGTGGGTGGGTCGCCTGAGCCGCCCATTCCAGACAGTCAGTCCTGACCTCCACTTCCGCCCTCTGGTCCTCCTCGCCAGGTGAAGCCCCTGCCTCTGAACCGGGGAGGCTCTCGTACCCGACGCCTCCTCCAAGTGGGTTGACACAACCTGGAAGCTTTGCAAGGCCAGCAGCAGTAACACAACCCCCGTCTCTGCTTAGAGCTCCTTCATAGAATATATCAGCAAAACAGGAAGTGTTTGCTCTAAAATATCACTTAAGGCCTAGTTGAAGAATATTCATCAATAAAAGAAGATTTTTTTTTTCCTTTTTGCTGCTTCCCACATGGGTATTTTCTTGTTACTGTTGTCCACAATTACATCTGAATGCTGCCTTTTGAAGAAATCCCCCTCCCTCTCGAGGGACTTTTCCCACTCTGTCTCAGAGCCCTGCCTGTCACTGATCTGAATTTATGAGGGGGAAAAAACTTTCTGGAAGTCAAATATAAGCCTCTGCCATCCTCACCTCTGGGCTTCCTTAAAAGCTTAAATTATTATTACTTCAGCAAAAAAAGGAAAAAAACAAAACTGATACAAATGTGCACTTTAAAAAAATTAAGAAAACATAATAAAGAAACAAACTACTATGAAAGCAATAAATATGGGCGTGGCAACCAAGAAAATCACAGTTAATCATTGGATGGAAGATATTCCATGGTTAATATATTCTAATGTACCATTAACCATTTACAGTACTGTAAAACATTTTATACCAAAATTCTGATCAGGAATTACCCATAAAATTACCCATAAAAATACGTGGTGAACACCATTAAAGTTATTAAGAGGAAAGAGTCAAATAAATAGTAAACAATATGGACAAAAATACTGTAAATAACATATAGACCATATGTCTGATTAAAATATAAACTTGAGATCTTGGCGCGTGGCACAATTCCATTTATAGAATTGTAACCCGGAAGTGGCTTCCAAGCCCGATTGTACATCGGATCTGTTTTGTAGCAAAAACAAGGTTATCGTAGACATCAAAGCCGGTTCCCGCAGCTCAATTGAACCTCCTTCCACCCAGGGGATCAGAGGCTCCGAGGGGCTGAGTTTCCTTCCTACAATTCAGGGCGATGTGCTTATAGCTATTATTGGGAGTATCATTTCACGGCCTGTAGGGAAGGAAAGAGACTGTGCATGTCAACTGTCAGAGACCCTTCGGCCCTGACCCCGCTGGCCTTCTGCAAGGCCTTGACCCCTGGGCCCTGGGCCAAGTCTGGGGACCTGGGTGCGGAGGGAGCCCAGTCAGAGTCTCCTGGCTACGTGGAGGTTTGTTCCGTGATTCCCGGCTCTGATGAGTTTTTATTTCTGGTACTGTGTGAGTTTTGTCTCCTTTGACTGTAGACTGCCCCGAGTCATATATGTGAGATGGGCTGCTACGTAAATCAAAACGATCAAACACGTATGTCCGGTCCAATTCTCTGCTCAGGACAGGAATCCATGAAATGGGTGTCCAGCCAGCTGCTCTTTGAAACCTCCACTGAAGGGAAGTCCATCACTCGTCTAGGCAGGCGATTCCATCGCTGAGCAGCTTCTGCCACTCAGAACATCTCCTCCCATTCTCCTCTTAAAACTCTCCAAATTTGGCCCCTTTAAGACTGGTGGACTTCAACTCCCATACTTCCTCAGCCAGCATGGGGAATTCTGGGAGTTGAGGTCCACCACTCTTAAAGGGCCAAGTTGGGAGAGTCCTGCTCAAGTTGAATCTCCTTCTTTTCAATTTCATCCTGTTGCTCTTCGCTCTGCTCTCAGCTTCAACCAAAGAAGAAGAGGTCCTTTTGTAGGTGGGGAGGAAGTGTCCCCTGCCCCACAGATCCTGCTTCTCCATCCCAAGGAGAAGATTCCCAGAGAGGCCTCCATCTTGCCCGGCCCTTTGTTGGAACTCAAGTTAAGGACCTGCAGAATAATAGTGCTCCGGCTCTATTGTCCAAAAGCCACTGCAAACAGGATGCCCCCAATTTCCTGTTATTTCAACCGATGGCCGTGCCCGGTCCAGGAAGAGCCCCTGCCTGAGCGGGGAAGAAGGTGAAGCAGAAGAAGAGCCATGATGGCCTGGCTCAGAGAAGATGATGATCAAGATGGAGGAGGAGGAGGAGGAAGAGGAAGAGGAGGAGGGGAAGAAAACATACCAAGCAGAAAACTGTTCTAGAAATGAGGAGGATTTCCCTGACAGAACAATTAATCAGTGGAACGACTTTTCTCCAGAAGTTATGAATGCTCCATCACTGGAGCTTTTCAAGAAGAGACTGGACAGCCATTTGTCTGAAATGGTCTAGGCCAGGTTTCCTGCCTGAGCAGGGGGTTGGACTAGAAGACCTCCAAGGTCCCTTCCAACTCTTTTATTCTGCTAACCTCTTCTCCAAAGCCCCTGAAGGCAGGACAAGAAACAATGGATGGAAACTCATCAAGGAGAGAAGCAACCCAGAAGTAAGGAGAAATTTCCTGACAGTGAGAAGAATCAGCCAGTGGAACGGCTTCTGGGTGCTCCATCCCTGGAGGCTTTCAAGAAGAGACGGGACAACCATCTGTCTGAAATGGTGCAGGGTCTCCTGCTTGAACAGGCCTTGGACTAGGAGACCGTTATGGTCCCTTCCAACTCTGTCATCCTTGAACGTTGAGCCAGGAGACCCAAGAGGCTGCTCTTTTCCACAGCTTCAGTCCCGGGAGCCAAAGTCTCCTGCTGAATCTCTTCATTGCACGGAATGAAGGGCTCCTTGGCCGCCTGTCTCCTTTCACAGGCTGAGGAGGAGCCCGGCCGGAGGGTGAAGAGAGGCATGGGAGAAAGGTGGGGGGGGAGAGGGGGAGGTCTGGCGGCTCCTCAGATGTCCCCAGCCCTGAGCAAGACAGCCTCTGTCTGGGCCTGCTGACCCTCATTTCTTCCCAGGGCCTTTCCTGCCTCTTATCAAGGCAGCCCCGGCTGCTCAGTCCCGGCCGGAGGTATCTCGCACCAGCAGGCCCTGCCGGGTCAGCCACATCGGCAGGGCAGCGAGGGGCTACACCGCATTCCCACCGGGGGCCCTGCCTGGAAAACATCCCTGGATCCGACGCAGAGGTGGAGGCCCCTACACCTCCCACCTTTCCTCAGCCAGGCCCCTCCAGGCTGCCATTTCCCCCAATTTCAAGCCACTTTTTGGAAAGTGTCACTGCCAGGGCGGGGCAGGGCAGGGCAGGAGAGGGGCCAAGCTGCACCGGGCCGTGTGGGGCTCCTGGGATTCGGGGCTCTGTCGTCCCAGGAGAAAAGTTGCATGGTGGCAGACTGAAGCCAGAGGCAGGTGGGCCAGAAAGAGCATGGATCCCCAGCCCCAGGAAGCGCCCTCAGCCTGACATCCACACTGGGTTCGAGGGCTCCCTGTGGCCGGACAGGAGGCTTGGTCTCCCTGCAGGGGTGAGCAGAAGGCTGGACTCCTCTTGACCCGCAGCAGCCCTGGCAGGATGCCCCGGGGACAGTTGTAGTTGTTTTGATTGCTGTCGTTGTCATCATTGTTGTTGTCGTCGTCCTTCTCCTCCTCCTCTACTACCACCACCTGCAAACCCTACCACCTTCTAGCACTGATGGTGTTCCCTAGTTGGCTCATAGAACATCTGCAAGAAAACAATCCAGCTCAGAGAGCACCAAGGACCCCCCAGTCATCTCCTCTTCTTTTTCTGCCGCCTCCTCCTCCTCCTCTTCCTCCTCCTCCTCCTCTTCCTCCTCCAAAAGCTTCCTTTGCCAGGAGCCGATCCCAGCAGTGAGGGAGGCAGGCCCGGAGGCCGCTCTCCCTGCTCTCCACTGACCGCCTGACCCCTTGCCAAAGTTCAGGGCTTCCTAGAAAGCCTCTGCCCACCCAGAGGAGGAGGAAGGCCCTCCAGATGCTCCGGCCGTGACCCGGCCCCAACCCCCTGTTCCAAGAGGGGAGCCCTGCCCGGCCGCCTGCCCGATAAGCAGGACTGGCAGAGCCAAGCAGGATTTCGACTAATCCGTTGGGAACTTCTCAGCGGCTCAGCCATAAAAGCAAGGTGACAGGAAGGTCGAGTTCCCTAACAATGCCGGAGTGCGGAGTGTTTATGCTCAGAGGGATCCTTTTCCACGGCAGCCAGGCCTCCGATAAGGCCATTGTCAGCCAGACGGAGTCGCCTCTTGCAGCTCTTACATGCGAGTCCTTCTGCCTGGCTGATGAGCACATTTTTTCCGGTCCCAGCTTGACCGCAGCCACCGTGGCCCTGAGCCGTCCTGCTCAGCAACTCCCCACACGGCCTTTTCCCGGGTCCCTCCGAGGTCAAAGACGGGAAGGGCACAGGGGCTTCTGGGTGGAAAGCAAGCCTCTGCACCCCAATCCCTCCAGGGCCCTTCCAAGGAGGCCCCTCAGAGGCAGCCCCTGCACACACACACACACACACACAGGCACTCCCCAAAGGGCACAACCCTCCCCAACCCCTGAAACCAGACCTTCAAAGAGAGGCCCCAAAGCATCCGTGGCTTCACTGCTGTCACGAAAGAGGCCCTCTTGGGCTACCAGAAGGAAAGGGTTGCCCCAGAACCTGGAGAGGGTGGCTTTCTTCCCAACCACAGAGCCTCTGTTGCCCCGCTACTGTAGAACAAGGCCCACCAATGGGGTGCCTTTATCAGCTTTCCGTGGGGCAGGTGAAGGGAAGGGACCGGTTGCTTCCAGAGGAAAAGCAATCCGGTTGCTCTCCTGGGTGTGGAGAAGAGACTCAGCAAAGGGTCACCGCCAGCAGATCCCAGGAGTGGCAATTCCCGCCCCTCCACCCAGTCGGCAGTCCAGCCGCATTCACACAACATTCCCAGCAGTCAGGCCAGGCCACTGAAAGACTTAGCGAGAGGAGCAGCTTTGCAGCCCAGGGTTGGCCCGAGAGCTCCTTGGTGCTCTCTCTCAGCTGGGTGGTTTCCATTTACGAAACACGCAAAGCTGGACTAGCTTGAACTTTATTTTTGCCATCTTGAAATGTGGTATGAACCCTCTCTCTCTGGGGAGCTTCAGTTCCATGCGTTGCGTCGACTCAGGAAACGGGTCGATTCAGTGGCAGAGCCGACACAACGACCTGGATGAAGAGCCCTGTCCCTCTTCGCCAGGAATCCCCCCAAACAGCACCTGCTGGTAAACAGGCTGGATCGATCCGACAATACAGGTACAGTGGCAGCCTCCGGGTGAGAGGATGCAGCCCTCTGCTCTGGCTGCCCGTGAAGACCTGGGACCGACTGGCAGGAGGCGGCTCCTCTCGGACAATCACCCAGCGAGATGGGGCTGGGTTAAGTTTGCGTTATCCACCAAGGCTCCACGGTTGTGGGTTTGTAGATTCTTTGTCCCATGGATTTACGTCATCATTGTTCTAGCTCTTGTCTGCCCGTTGCAGGTTGAAGGCCTCTTCACATGTCTCCAACCAAGACGGTGCTGAGCTTTCTTTGGCCAGTTGGGCAAACCATACTTGGCCGAGGTCATCCATCCGCCTTGTTTTAGGTCTCTTTCGTGGATACTTTTGATCAAGTGGGATCCATTCTATGACCTCCTTGGTCCACTTGCCATCGGTTCTTCTTGCTATGCGACCAGCCCATTTCCATTTCCATTTCCATTCTTTTACTCTCTACATACGTATCCATTCTTATTTTAAATCGTATCATTTTCACTCTTCAGTCTTTTGGCTATTTCCCTGCCACCCCCTCAGCTAAAGAGCAGCCCCTCCCCTTTGGCGAGAAGAAGCACTGGGCCCACACTTTGCTCTGCTCAGAGGGAGCCCCGGGGGGTGGGGGGGGCAGGAGAGCAGGTCGTACCACAATGGCCATAAGACAAGAGAGCAAAGCCAGATGAGGAGGCTCTCCAGAAAGGCAGCCCACCCATCGCACCAGGCTCTGCGAGGGAAGCTTCAAAGGAACCAGAGCCTCCCTTCCTGCTTGACACGGTCTTCCTGCCTGCAGGGGATGCCCATCGCTCAGCACTGACGCTTGGCTGCCTCCAAGCTGCCCAACCGCTTTTGGCCCCTTGGCCCCGTCCACCGGCCGTGCCCAGGACTCTTGCCCAGTGAAGCCTGTCCAGCTGCTCCTCCGCCTCCCCGCCTCCACAAAGTGTAGCATCCTGGCTAACGACCACGCTGACACTCAATCCTTGCCTACGTGCCTATGGAGACTCTCCGCCATCCAGGTCAGGGTGGTCCCAGAGGTGCTTTTCCCAAAAGGCAACCGGACTCTCTAGGGCTTTTTCCTTTGAAGACTTTTGGCTTCTCATGCAAGAAGCTTCTTCACTAAAGAAGACCTGAAGAAGCTTCTTGGAGGAGAAGCAAAACGTCTTCCAGGAACAAAACCAAGGAAGTCCAGTTGCCTTTTGGGAAAAGCACCTCTGGGGCGATCCTGGTCCACGTTCTCCATGCATGTCGCCAGAAGTGGCTCCTTCCCAGGGAAGAACAACTGTTAAAAGTCTCAATGATCCAACGATGGAGGAAAAGGAGCAGCCACTTACCAACACGGAGTAGATGTGGAAGCAGCGGTAGACGGGGGAGAAATCCACCAAATCCTGAGCACCGGGCACCTGGGGTGACATATAACAGGGACAGCTGTCAATCAAAGCAGGGAGGGAGGGAATGCAGAGGCTGCTTTGGAAGGAGGGACAAAGGGAGCAGCCGGAAGTGGCCGTAGCCAAGAGAGGAGCTTTTTCTCCCCCTCCCACAAATATTCCAATCCAAAGCCATCCGGCCAGAGAGCTCTTATCACGCAATCCATGGGAAGCTTCGAGGCAACAGAAAAAGGGGAGAACTGAAAAGCGAGAATGCTTTCAAGCAGAGGCCACGATACAGGCAGTCCTCGACTTACAACCACAATTTCTGTTGCTAAGTGAGACAGCGGTTAAGTGAGCTTTGCCCCATTCTTGCCAGTCGTTCAGTGAACGACTGCAGTTGTTAATTTAGGAACCCGGTCGTTAACTGAATCCGGCTCCCCCATTGACTTCGCTGGTCAGACGGTCGCAAAAGGGAATCACATGATTCCGGGAGGCTGCGACCATCATAAATGTGAACCAGCTGCCAAGCATCTGACCATGGGGATGTTGCAACAGTCGTAAGAGTGAACGGTGGTCATAAGTACCTTTTTTCAGTGCCACTGTAACTTTGAATGGTCTTTAAATGAATGGTTGTAAGTTGAGGACTACCTATACAAGCAAAGCACCTTGGACAGATGGTGAGATGGGCCTCGGAAAGGATAAGCCCAGCCTGGAAGACCCCAAGTGGCAACCACCTCCACCCCCTCCCTCCACCCCTCCCTCCACGGGCAGCCTGGCCGATCCCCTCCCCCGCTCATGCCTGGCCTTAGAACAGACTTGCCTCTTCTTCCTCCTCCTCCTCCTCCTCTTTCACATCCAGGATCCCAGAATCCCGCTCAGAGATCGGACTGGCTTTCTTGAGCTCCAGCCCTGAATTCGCGCCGGCCACTCTCCTGCCCCTTCGGCCCCCGGCCCTCAAGGGCTGCCCCTCCAGGCCATCCAGGCTCCTCTGCTGCTGGGCCTAGGACACAACCGGACAGGAGGGTCGGTCACACAGGGGAGGCCACCCTGTCCAACGGCCCCCTTTGGAGGTGTCCTTGGGAAGCCCCACCTGGCTGAGGGCTGACCTGACGGCCCAGCGGTAGGGAGGCCTGGACCCCCAGGGGCCCCACCCCCATTAAGAGTTACTTCCCCTCACTACCACCACCAGACCCCCGTCAGTTCCAGCCGCCAACATCTGGGCACCAGAGAGGCGTGAAAGGCACCCTGGGAAACCTGAATTGCGCACTGCAGATGGATGCCATCTGCCCGCCCCCTTCTGCCAAGACGTTACGGCCAGGGCAAGACAGAGGAGCCCCTCCCCAGGCAGGGTCCTCCTCCTTCCCCCCCCCCACCGACAACTTGCATCCTCCAGTGAAACATTCTGCTCTGTGAGAAACGTGGGGAGGGGAGTTGTTTCTCTAGAGATGAGAAGGAGCCACCCGACGGTTTCGATGGAAGAAGGACCTTCTTTTAACATGACAAGAAGATACCACACACACACACACACACACACACGCCTCATCTGAGGGGTCACAGAATTAAGAGGTAGCCTCGACTTACAATCGCAATTGAGCCCACCATTTCTGTTGTTAAGTGAGACACTTTTGCCCTATTTTACGACCTTTCTGGCCACAGCTGTTAAATGAATCACTGAGCTGTTAAGTTAGTAATGTGGTTGTTAAGTGAATCGGGCTTCCCTGTTGACTTTGCTCATCGGAAGGTCGCAAAAGGGGATCACATGACCCTGGAGGGGGACACAGCCACGGTCGTAAGTGTGAACCAGTGGCCAAGCCTCTGAATTTGGATCCCCTGACCCTGGGGATGCTTCAAAGGTCGTAACTGTGAAAAACGGTCAAAAGCCCCTTTTTTCAGCCCTGTTGTAAATTTAAATGGTCACTAAACAAACTGTTGAAAGTCAAGGACTTATCTATAGTATATGGGAGCCTCCCTTTCCTGCCCAAAAAAAAAAAAAAAAATCCCATGAGTTTGAGGCAACTTTTCTACCGATTGGCAGGGAAGTCCGAGGGTCAGCAAGGGAACGTCTATGTGTGTGTGTGTGTGTGTGTGTGTGTGTCTTTCCTTCCCTTACAAGATCTGGGGGTCCCCTGGGCAGAGCCTGCAGCTGGAGGGACGGGGAGGGGGAGGCTCCCTAAGGAAGGAGCCCCCCTCTGCAACCAGGCCGGGCTTGTGGCACAGCCCCCTCCTGACCTCTAGCGGCCCCACAGCACAATTTCTGCCTTTGCACATCCCAGTTTGTAAAATACTCTCTCTCTCTCTCTCTCTCTCTCTCTCTCACACACACACACACACACACACACACACACACACACCCTAGTAATCCACTGTGTGTGTCACCTGGCTAGGCGGAGGCTGGTCTTCTTCCAACCCCTTCCCTCCTGCGAAGCATCTCCGGAGCCCCATTTCGGGTCAGGCTCCGTCTCCTGAAGCCCCCTGCCCTCCATCCTAGCCCCAGTGCCCTGGGCCCAAGAGGGCTCTGGGCAGGCCGTGCCCTGCGTCCCCTTCTGGGAAAGCCTAAGGTTCCTAGATAGGGAAGAAGGGGTCATGTTAGAGAGCGGGGTTCTATATACAGGTAGTCCTCGACTTACGGCATTTCGTTTACTGACCATTCAAAGTTACGACGCCACTGAAAAATGTTTTTCACAGTTACGACCTTTGCGGCATCCCCACCACCCGTGATCCAAAGTCAGACGATTGGAAACTGACTCACGCTTGTGACGGTCACAGTGTCCCTGCAGTCACGGGATCCCCTTTTGCGACCTTCTGACAAGCCAAGCCAACAGGGAAGCCAGATTCACTCAACAACCGGGTTACTCACTTAACAACTTCAGCGATGCGCTTAACAAACGTGGCAAGAAAGGTTGTAAAATGGGGCAAAATTCACTTAACAAATCTCTCTCTTAGCAACAGAAATTGTGGGCTCAATTGTGGTCGTAGGTTGAGGACTACCTGTATATAGTTCATCAAAATACAAAACAGGGAGACACCAAGTAAAACTAAAACGGTGGGAAAATAGGGGAGGAAAACGGGAAGAGGGAAAAGAAAAGAAAATCATTGAGTTACGACCACAATTGAGCCCAAAATTTATGTTAAGTGACACAGTTGTTAAGTGCGTTTTGCCCCATTTTATGACTTTTCTTGCCACCATTGTTAAGTGAATCACTGCAGTTGTCAAGTGAGTAACCCGATTGTTAAGTGGATCTGGCTTCCCTATTGACTTGGCTTGTCAGAAGTGACCCCAGGATACTGTAGGCGTCATAAATACAAGTCAGTTCTTAAGCATCCGAATGTAAATCACGTGACACGTGGATGATGCAATGGTCATAAGTCACTTTTTTCAGTGCCGTTGTCACTTCAAACGGTCACTAAATGAACTGTTGTAAGTGGAGGACTGCCTGTAAACGGACTGTTTTAATGGAGGGTTCGCCACTGAGCAGGGAAGAAGGCGTGGATGGGGGTGCCCCCCTGAGTATTGTTGTGGGCCGATGCCCCTGGAACAGCGGGGGTGGCATCACCGCACAGAGGCCAGGAGTGTGTGGGCATCAAGGTGGCACCTGATCTTTAAACGCCAAACCTTTTGCCCAAAGTGCTGACTGCGGATGCAAAAACGGAGAGAGACGAGGAAATCGAAGGGGAGTGATTACGAGTTACACATAAATGGTGCAGAACTATCTAAAGGAGAGTTCTGGGTGCACCTTGGCTCCCAACGGGAATATTCTGATCGTGGAAACCACCAGGTGCTTTGACATGGGACTGAATCACAGTCACTGCTACAGCCAAGGAATCACAACTTGGGAACTTCCCAGCACACTCGGCTTCTTCCCAGTGGCCTCCATAAAAAGCAAAACCCTCGTGGCAATGCCACAAGCGGGCAAGAAGAGCCCGTGAAATCCACAATGGAGGCTGGGCAGGAGGTTTGGGCACATTGGCAGAACACCTCCGGCCTGTTTCCGCAGAAACGCTTCTGGAGAGCAGAATGACATGAATGGGACGTCCCTTCCAGGGCACCAAGGGAAGATCTACTCGATCTACTTCTGGAAGACTGGATCTGAAAGAAGCTGCAGGCACCGTGGCCTCCACAGCAGTGGGAAAGCACACCAAGCCGGCCGGTGCCAGGCAGAACAGAGGCGGGTTCAAGGACTTGGGTTGGGCAGAAAACGTATCAGAGTCAGACGAACCCAGCGGGAAGGGATCGCTGGAGAAGTAGCGGGTCAAACAGGGCAGGAGAGACTCAAGAAGGCGCGGGTCAAGACGAAGCATGAAAGGCAAAATGAACGTCCACCCCAAAAGGAGAACTTGGACCTGGTCAAACGAAGAGAATGAAGCAAAGCAGAATGGCAAAACCACCAGGCAAGGAAGGGGCCACGGAGAAGGTCGGGGGGAACGGAGTGGATGAGAAGTGGGAGGGGTCCTCTTGAAGAGGGAGGAGGAGGAGGATGGAGGGGGTGGAAGCAAGGAAAAGAAGCCAAGGAGACAAGGTGAATGCGGCTCACGTCAACTAGGGTTAGCGTTGTTTCCGTCAAGGCACAAGAAACCGGGAACCCAGGCTGGTCAAATGAGTGCAAGTTTAATCCCTGCTACTCTCTACAACGATCGGAACTACTAACAGTCAAGTCAAATTGGCAGCGGATAAGGGTCAAGGGAAGTCAAGGAGGGCTGAACTTGGATCTCTTGTGGGCGCGAAGGGACTCCAGACTGATGATGTGCTTGACCCCTCCCTCCCTCCCTCCCTCCATCCCTCTGGCTCAGCCTGGTCATCTCCTACAGTTTCCCCCTTTTTCTTAATGTCATCATTTCTCTCACCATTTCTTATTCCACCAGGGAATAGCTGGCTGGGGAATTCTGGGAGTTAAAGTCCAAAAGTTGGACAACCGCTGCTTTAGATTCTGGAGAGAAATCAAAGGGCTCCTGAGAGGTGCCTAGAGCAAGTGAGCCCCCTCCTCCATTCCCCTCCTGCTTTTAAGGAGGAAGCCCCCTGTGCTCGTGTGACAGGCCTCCCATAAAGGGAGACAAACGACCTGCCCGCCCAACCCCTTTGGACGGTTCTGTTTCCCATAAAGGCCTCTTCCCCCACTGGAGGGGCCCGCTGGGAAGGCACATCAAAGTGCAGGTGAGGCTCCCTCAGACATTTGAGCAACCTGGAGAGGGAGGAGGCCGGCCCCCCAAAAACGTTACCTTTCGCTTTACATGAAAGCCGGGGCGTTACTAAATGACGGGGTGAAGGCACCTGGCTCACCCCAAAGCCATCCATCCATCTCGGCTCCCCCCCGCCTCTGCTCTTTGCTTAAGATGAGTTGGGGGGGGCGGAGCGGCCATCTGCTTCCAGGGCCTGGAGCAGCCACGCGGCAAGGTGGCTTGGCCACGTACTTCCCGGCCCCTTTGGAGGCGGTTATTGCCATTTCCTCCCAAACTGGCTCGGGGTCAAGCCCACTTTGGAAAATGAACCCCCCCTCCTACCTGGTCTAGCTTCTCCCAGGCAAGCAAGGCTCCCCAGCCAGATGCTGAGGCCTGGAGCTCACGGCTGCGCTGGGACTGCTCTCCGAGACGAGGCGGAGACCTTCCCCTAGGACCTCCTGGGTGAGGCTTTTGTGCAGCAGCCCAGGGAAAGCAGGTGCCGCCCCGGCCCACCACGGATCTGGCATGTGATTCTTTCCCTCTCGTCTCATGGGGGTTAATGGATTCGTGGATATTTTCCATCTGGCTCCTCAGCCGAGGCCTGTCTGGCTTGGGTGACCCTGCTGGTACAGGTGGCCCCTGACTTACCACCACAAATTTCTGTTGTTAAGTGAGCTTTGCCCCAGTTTACGACTCTTCTTGCCCCAGTTCTTAAGCGAATGACTGAAGTGGCTAAGTTAGTAACCCGGTTTGTTGAGTGAAATCTGGCTTCCCCATCGACTTTGCTTGTAAGTCAAAAAGTGATCACATGACCCCGGGACACTGCGACCGTCATAAATTTGCATC